ACTTGACAATGGCAAGTGTGACCTTGCCGAAACGTCGTCAAAACAATGGTTTTTCTAAAAACCAAAATTACATAACGCGGAGTCAAACCCGGAAAACAACTGAAATCACTTATAGCTCCCGCGGAAGTTTCAAATCCAATATATATATATATATATATATATATATATATATATATATATATATATATATATATATACATATATATATATATATATATACATATATATATATATATATATATATATATATATATATATATATATATATATATATATATATATATTGTAGCATTTTAAATTTGATTGATTCTTTGAAGTATATTTAAAGTCGCCTCGTATATGAAATCGTCTTAATAAAACGAAGAATGTTTTCTGTTTTTTAGTTCGTATCTTTCGAAAAGTGTTTTCAATCATTCTAACGTCGTAGAGTAATAAATCCATTTAATTGTTGTTTATTTTACTGCGGCGATTTCTTTTCATGTAAATGCGTTTCAAAGGATATCTACGTCGTTCGTTGGTTTTGCTATTTCAGCAGTTCGTTGATTTTCAAGTTAAGCGAACAAATTTTTAATTTCGTCACTATCGGTGGAGCCGCTGTCAAGGGCAGTTGGTTTCGTTTGTTTAGTCCGAATTTTCATCAAATTCGTAATGTTTTTTTTGTTATTAGTTTTTTTCATCAGAAGTATTGAAGTTTGGTAGCATGTGTAGTTACAATTTGAGGTTGGTTTATGATATTGACGGAAAAGTGCTTGGGTGGTATTCTTCAAGGAACCGGCAAATTTATATGTGGAGAAGTGAATATTATACTCAAATGTAATGTGTCAGTTTTTGTCTGAGTTAATCACCGATTTGGGTCGTGCTGTGTTTTGAAGAGCTTTGTGTTTTGAGAAGTTTTGAAAAGCCAAGCTTTGAAGATTGCAGTTTAATTAACCCGAAGTCCGATGGTCCAGTGCCCAGCTTTCATCGTATATTTGTTGTCCCTGGTCATTCCAGACCATTTTGCAGCTTGTGAGAAGCATTTGTTTGTTTTGCAGTGTTTTTGAGTAAAGTTCCAGCCCCAAAACTTTTAAAGGAGATATAATATTCAGTGATATCAGGTACTCTTTTTTTTTCGTAAACATTTTTTAAAGTAAAAATAGACAGTTTTCATCGATAATTGCTTTCATGACAAGTTACAAAAATTGTAATAAATAAAATTATAAATATTAGGGATTGGTTAACTGTCATATTAATTATTCTTATAGTTTTAAAAATTTAATCTTGACATATGACAGTTAGCATTATTGTCTTCGGATATTTGGTACATACATAACCATAAACTTTGAATTTGTTTTGTTTTTAAAAAGGTTAACCTCAGTAAGTAAGCTCCATTTAAAAATATGATAATAAATATTTAAATAGTTACCGCTACAAAATGTCGCGCAAATAGGGTCCCCAACGCCCAGAGTTGTAAACCGAAAGCGCCATTGTAAGTCGTTTTTTTTTGTATTTTGTTAGTATTATTTGTATTTGTAACTGTTTGTGGTACACATAATTAAAGGTTAAATTTTATTTTCTTAACTTTTTATTTATTTTTTTTAAGCTAACCCTTTTTGAGTTTATTTGAAAAAGATATGTTTTGATTTTATTTTCTAATTATTTCCCTAGTTACAACTAGTGGTTGTAATAGGCATAATTAGGCACCTCAAGTGGCGCCCTATATTAAATTCCTTGAGGTGTTTCTTGTTTAATTTTTATTTTGTTTATCCCAAGAGCCCTTTATTTCATTTTTTTGTAGTTGCCCCATTCCAATGCCCTTATCTTTTACTTATCCACGACCCCAGCTCTCCTACGAAACCCTGAGTGTCCGTTCGCATCAGTAGCGATTATTTTGCTTGCCCTATCTCCACCCCCAATAGTTTCTTCCCCCAATTTTCTACCTTATATTAATGCCCCTGTGGTAGGCAAAATATTTTCGTTACAATATATATATATATATATATATATATTATATATATATATATATTTATGATGTATATATTTATCATAATATTTTTTAGGGCCTTAATTTTTGCCTCTTTAATGGCATTCCTTCGTCGCCTTCTGATTCTAGAAGATCTTCGAAATCTTTAAGACCATCACCGTCTTCATCTAAAATATTGTTTCCTGTCTGCGTTACTTCCTCATCTACAATTTCATCAGAAACATTATTCTTAATTTCTTCGTATTCTTTTTCCTCCACATCTAGCATTTTTCTGAGCCGTGACAACTTAACATAAATTTGTGCATTTCAAACCATGTTTTCGGCAACCAAATTTTAAATTGTTACATCAAGTTTCACACCTGCAGCAAATAGTTTTGAGCAGTATTTCCGGGATCAATTCTTTTTCTGTAAATTTGGGCATAATCCCTCGTTGATGTTGTTTTGAGTCCCAATCTGTTGCTGTCAGTTCGTTGCCCAGCCATATTTGAAGCTGATAATATGCCCTGTTAGAATGTTGTTCTGCTGCACCTTCTGTGGGTGGAAGATTTTCCAATACGAAAGATGATTAAATTTCTGATAAATTGATATTTTAGAAATCGTAATTGATTCAGCGGTAGATTATCATTTTTGCACTTATAAATAGATTTGATTAATTGTAATCCATTTTTTGCGATATCTTGTTTATTTGCGTCTTATTCATAAAAAATGTTAGCCAAACTTGACAAATTTTTAGCGTCTAATAATGAATTTACGATATTTTTCTTTCCTTTCCCGGCAAATCCAGATGTATCGCAACCAGAAAAACAATGCAGAAATTTTATAATTTTTTTATTTGTCAATGTACCATGAAATCTTACGCAACATGGGTAATTAACGTCTTAATTTTAATAAATATCTCAAAATTGTACATAATGATGTAAAAAAAATTTTTCGATTCGAATTTTCTTCGTTTTTTGCCCTTGCAAAAAGCTCACCGACTTTTTTAAAAAAGCTGGTATTTTGACGCGTGAATTTTCGATTGAAAATTAGGGTGCTTTTTCTATATTAAATCAATATCAGTTGTAGCATTTTAAATTTGATTGATTCTTTGAAGTATATTTAAAGTCGCCTCGTATATGAAATCGTCTTAATAAAACGAAGAATGTTTTCTGTTTTTTAGTTCGTATCTTTCGAAAAGTGTTTTCAATCATTCTAACGTCGTAGAGTAATAAATCCATTTAATTGTTGTTTATTTTACTGCGGCGATTTCTTTTCATGTAAATGCGTTTCAAATGATATCTACGTCGTTCGTTGGTTTTGCTATTTCAGCAGTTCGTTGATTTTCAAGTTAAGCGAACAAATTTTTAATTTCGTCACTCTCGGTGAAACCGCTGTCAAGAGCGTTTGTAGTTTTATTGGAGTCCGAATTTTTCTTCAAATTCGTAATGTTTTTTCGTTTTTTTTTTTGTCATTTGTCATGGGAAAATGTGTAGTGTGGTAGCAGTTGAGAGCTCGGCTTGTAATCTTCAGAAAGCCGACAGATCCTGTTTCTAGAAAGTTATATGTGTTGTAATATGTCCTAAATGGAAGATTTGTAAGGTGTTACAACGATATAAGAGGCCATCGTATTTTCAATGAAGTTTTGAAAAGCCAAGCTTAGAAGTTTGCAATTTTTTTTTGACCCGAAGCCCGATGATCCAGCCGAACTTCAACTTCCTTCGTCTATTTGTTTGTCCCTGGTCATTCCAGACCATTCTGAAGCTTGGAGACGCATTTGTGTTATTTGCAGCGTTTAGAAATCCAGTTCCAGCCCCAAAACTAATATTTAGTGAAGTCAGGTACTTTTTTTGTTAAATTTTTTTTAAAGTGAAAAATAGACATTTATCATTAATAATTGCTTTCATGACAAGTTGAAAAATTTGTAATAAGTAAAATTATAATAATTAGGATTTGGCTGTCATAATAATTATTCTTATACACATAACTAACCATAAGTTTTGAATTTGTTTTGTTTTTTTAAGTTGACCTTAATCTAAACTGCATTGAAAGATCTATATGATTTCAATTTTGTTTTTTGTAATTATCATTTGTTTTGTAACTGTTTGTGGTACACATAATTAAAGGTAAAATTTTGTTGTCTTAACTTTTTGTTTATTTTTTTGAGCCAACCCTTTTTGAGTTTATTTGAAAAAGATATGTTTTTTATGTTTTGATTTTGTTTTCTAATTATTTCCCTAGTTACAACTAGTGGTTGTAATAGGCATAATTAGGCACCTCAAGTGGCGCCCTATATTAAATTCCTTGAGGTGTTTCTTGTTTATTTTTATTTTGTTTGTCCCAAGAGCCCTTTATTTCTTTTTTTGTAGTTCCCCCATTCCAATGCCCTTATCTTTTACTTATCCACGACCCCAGCTCTCCTACGAAACCCTGAGTGCCGTTCGCATCAGTAGCGATTATTTTGCTTGCCTTATCTCAACCCCTTTAGTTTCTTCCGCCAATTTTCTACCCCCTTGTATTAATGGCCCCTGTGGTAGGCAAAATATTCTCGTTACACAGTTAAAAAAATAAATTTTTTATTGGGTAAATACTAATGCAAGTTTTCACTAAATTTCGTAAAAAAAATTTCTTGTAAAAGATAAAAATAAAAACCCGAAAACTTAGTTTTTGGAATTTTCCACAAAAATTTTGAGGTTATGTAAAAAAAGTGTAAATACAAAAGTTGTAGATCTTTTTGTTACCTACAATTTTGCCATTTAACTTTTTCTCATAGCACTTGTAGTTTCGCCGAAAATCCCGATAAACCGATTTTTACCCTTAAAAACTCACCCCCTCCCACTTCCCGACCTCGGATAGAGTGGAATTTATTTTTTCTTCCATTTTTTTGCATATTCTCTTCCTTTTACAATAGGTTTCATTCTACTATAATTTTTTTTTTTCACTTTTTACCTTTTTTAAAGGCTTCGACACTGGTCTAATTGCATTTTTATGATTTAAGGCACAATCTCCTGACGAAGCGGCGTTAGTATCTGCAGCGAGAAATTTTGGATTCGTGTTCAAGGAACGAGCTCCCAACAGTATTACAATCGAAGCTATGGGAATCAAAGAAGTGTATGAACTGCTCTGTATTTTGGATTTTAACAACGTCAGGAAGCGGATGTCTGTAATTCTGAGGAGAGATGGCAAACTGAAGCTATATTGTAAAGGAGCCGACAACGTCATATATGAAAGACTTAAAAACGGCCAAGACGAAGTAAAACATAAAACACAAGAACATCTTAATGTAAGTAATAAATAATTTATATGTTTGGTAATCTTTTACTTTACTTTTTTAGTCACACTTAGCTTACAAATTCATTCTCCAAATAATAGTCCTATAACCCTCAACTCTATTTCAGAAATTTGCTGGAGAAGGCTTGAGAACATTGGTATTAGCCTCCTGTGATTTGGACGAAGTATTTTTCAACAACTGGAAACAAAGGCACCAAGAGGCAGCCGTTTCGTTAGAAGATAGAGAAGAAAAGTTGGACGCCCTCTACGAGGAAATAGAGAAAGACCTAGAACTGGTTGGAGTGACCGCCATCGAAGACAAACTACAAGATGGGGTTCCTCAAACTATTGCAAATCTCATACTAGCAGGAATTAAAATTTGGGTACTTACTGGTGATAAACAAGGTAAGTTGTTAAAGTGTCTTGTAGAATCTGACATTTATGGCTTATATTTAAAAAAAATGGTCATATTTTCACATTTATTGATGTATTCATACCTTACTTACTTACTTACTCCGTGGAGTTACAACCCTTCGTGGGTTTTAGCCGACTCGACAACATGCCTCCACTGTTTTCTGTCTTGAGCAACTTCCATCCAATTCTCCACGCCCATAGTGCTTAGGTCTCCTGCTACATTATCTTGCCACCGGAAACGAGGGCGTCCGCGTGGTCTCCTTCCTGTTGGGACTTCCTCCCACAACAGTCTTACTGTTCATTCGTCAGAATGTCTTCTGAGGTGTTCTGGACTTTATTTCTTTTATGATGTTGGCGTCTTGGTAAAGTTCTTCGAGCTCTTTGTTAGTTGTTATCCTATATTGTCCTGATGCTTCATCCAAAACAGAGCCAAAGATTTCCTTAGGATTTTTCTTTCCCAAACACATAGTCTCTCTTCGTTTGCCTTTGTTATCGTCCACGTTTCTCTTCTATACATCACAACGGGTCGTATGATTGTTTTATAGACCTATATCTTCGTACTTCTTGTTAATTGTTTCAATTTTATAAGGTTTTGGAGGGAAAAAAGACAGGTTTTTAGGATTTCCTTGTCATCAGTGATAAGCTTTCCGCTGTCGTTTTGAAGGAAGTTTCCTGTTCTTGCTTGGTACACTTGGTACGCTTGGTCTTGATATCTGAAACTCCTTTGAAGAACTGTCTCGCTTGTTTGTTCTTTTTCCTTCTATATCTCTGATTATTTGTTCCTGATACTCCCTCTTCTTCCTTTTCATTAGTTTTCTTGTCTCTGTTCTTCTTTGTCTATACATTTCATTGTTGTTGTGCGAGGGGTTTTGTAGCATGTTCCTTCTAGCCATATTTGTTGCTGTTATAGAGTTCAGGAAATCATCATCGAACCATTTTTTTGTTGTTTTCTTTTTGAGTTCCTAGTATTTTATCTGATACGTTTGTCAGAGCTAATTTAATATTTTTCAAAGCTGAGTCTATGTTGTTATAGTCTTCTGTCTGTGTTAGAGCGATTTTTATAGCCTTTTGAAGTTTCTGTACTGTCTGCTTATTATGTAGAAATTCGGTATTCCATAATTGTGTTGGTGTATTCTTGTGTGTTTTTTTTTGACGCTATATTTGTCCTTATCTTCGTTTTTACCAGAAAATGATGTGCCTCTATCAGCTCCTCTTAGGCTTCTTACGTCTAGACAGTTACTACCCCTCCTGGCATCTACTAGAAAATGATCGATCTGATTTCTTGTGATGCCGTCGTTGGAGACCCATGTTTGTTTGTGTATTTTCTTGTGTTCGAACATTGTCGATTTTATTAGTAGGTTGTGGGACGCTATAAAGTCTATTAACCTTGTTCCATTATCGTTGCTAACATCGTGAATACTATGGTTACCTATTGTTGGTTTGTACGCTGCTTCCTTCCCAATCTTGACATTGAAATATCCTAAGATAATATGCATATCCTGTTTGGGTAAATTATTTATCAGTTCCTCTAGTTTCTCATAGAAGTTATCTTTTACATGCTCTTCCTTTTCCTAGTTATGTAGTTGTCCTTTGAGTCTGATATAACAAGAGTCTTTCATTAACGGGTTTGAAAGTTAAGACTGACCCGCAAGACTTTCCCTGATTATAAAACCAGTGCCGAATTGATGTTCCCGTTCGCTTCCGCTGAAAAATACTACTGATTTATTAGTTTTTAGTGTACCTTCTCCAGTCCATCTAATTTCTTGTAAAGCAGTTATGTCCATGTTTCTGGATTCAAGTTATTTGACCACATGAGTTAGGGTTCCATACCGATATAGGCTTAGTGCGTTCCAGGTTCCTATATTCATTGTCCTTTGTCGTCTTAAAAGATTCGTCCTTATGCGAGGCATGTGCTTCGTTTTCATAACTATGTTTTCTTTTGCAAGAACAGTTAGTCCCTTGCTTAACCCTCCTCCTTTCTCATCCTGGACTTGGATCAAGCAACGGCGGAGTTATGTATTCATACCAATTTCTCTTTAATTTTTGATAGTTGTTTCCTCGCTGTTTATTCATTCCAACTTAGTTTTTATTGCTTTTTTCCAAACCGATAGATCTTTCCTTTATTATATTGTTGCCTGCATTTGTTGAATAGCAGTTGTTGTTTTTTGAAAAATACCGTTTTGCTAGATATTCTTTTTATTATTCCAGAGACTGCCATCAATATTGGTTACTCGTGCCAACTTCTGACAGACGAACTGGTGGATCTCTTCATAGTGGACGCTTCCAGTTTTGAAGAAGTCCAGCAACAGCTCCTCAAGTTCCGCGACAACATCAAAATCGTCCACACGTTTCAACCCCGTAGTCCTAACGTCAACCAAACGTCAAACGGTCGTGTAGATTCCGGCGAGTCGTCGAGGGGAGACAGCACCATCTTTACGCCCCAAACGCTGGCCAGTCCACCGGCGGTCAGCGTCGTCACATTCAGGTGGGACGATGAACATTCTACACAAAGTGATAATTCGAGAGCAAGGTAGATGACGGCATCGACAGGTTTTTTGTTTCTCATTTGATTGTTTTCTTTCTCATTTTAAGTATTGTTCAATGCAGAGTGTCTCGTAAAGTGTGATGAACCTAAGAGGTTAGTACATGCTGTTTTTTCTTTTATAAAATTTAAGTATTATCGCAGATTGAGATGGAAAGGAAATTACTTAAAATGTACAAAAGAGAATTAAGTAGAAAGTCAAAATACAAAATTTCCGAAGTTGAAATTGAAACGTCAATAAACTTATTTTAATCTTCAATTGTGGCTTATTCCCTATAAAATAGTATCTACTTTAAAATGCCACAAGAAAATAGCTGCAGAACAATCCTAAAGAATGGGTGAGGATATTTTCGTACGAAGACACATTGCAACTGCAACAATTTTTACTTTTAAGGCAATAATGTTGATCTATTTATACTTCTAAAATATAGATAACATGTTCTAAGCAAACTAAAAATTGTATATACATAGTACTAAAATTAAAAATAAAAATGTAAAACTCTTTGGAGACATAGAACTCGGAAACGAAAACAGGTGAAAAAGTTTATAAGAAGTTTAATTAAAAATCCTTTGTAATAGGTATATATTTAAGGCCAAACGGGCTAAGTTAAAAAGACATAACGTTTTCGGAAACCATGTTCCATCATCAGTGTCTAGGAGTACATGAATGTAGCCACCAAGATTAAATATATGGGTAAAAACCCGTTAACAGATGTTTAATTACATTTAGTTTTAAAAATATGTTATAATGATTTAAGATTATAGAGTTACCGATGGATTAGGTAACATGGCGACATATGACTCCACGTTGAAGTTGCTAGTCCTGAGACGGTATGTCTTCGAGGACTGTATGAGTGCAACTACAGTCCTCGAAGACATACCGTCTCAGGACTAGCAACTTCAACGTGGAGTCATATGTCGCCATGTTACCTAATCCATCGGTAACTCTATAATCTTAAATAATTATAACGTATTTTTAAAACTAAATGTAATTAAACATCTGTTAACGGGTTTTTACCCATATATTTAATATTGGTGGCTACATTCATGTACTCCTAGATACTGATGATGGAACATGGTTTCCGAAAACGTTATGTCTTTTTAACTTAGCCCGTTTGGGCCTTAAATATATACCTATTACAAAGGATTGTTAATTAAATTTTTAATACATGGTATACAGCCAACTACAGGAACGTAGATTCCTTGTGGATTTTTATAAGAAGTACCTACATTAATTTACTACTCTAATAGTCTAGAGTATTTGAGTAAACTCATATTCTTGCCACAATCTAATGGTGAAATTTCAAGCAAAAAATGAAGCTACAACAGAAAAACAAATTTATAATACAAAACAAGTTGAAAGAAAAAGGAAAAAAACCAATGTTCTATATCTCTTGTGGTTGCCGAACACTCTGCATTTTTCTTTACTATTCAAAGATTTGGAGAATGTGGTGCTAAATTTAATTATACGTACTAACCAAGGTATTTCTTGCTCGAATTTAGAATAGATAGATAGTGATAGCTTGTTTTTGCATTACTATTGATTTTCAGAAAGTTGCGTGAATTTGTATTACTAAAAATGTGTCAAATTCGTTTGAAACAGTATTGATTACTAAAACGATCCGGAAATTTATGTGGTGTGTGTGTGGATAATTTTTTAGTCAGTCCCTTAATTTTTGATCAATTATGGCTACTTATTAAAGACAGGTTTAACAGAAAAGTAAGGAGAGTTTTATAAGTTTGAATAATAACTAAAATTTGAAAGACGTTTAGTCTTTCAAAAAGTAGACAACTATTTTCTGATACCATCCTTATCACGGCGCAGTACAGTTGTACGGCTATCTCCATGACATTGACTAAGAATTAGTACTTCCTTGGTATCTTACCATTGCACAAATTATACCATCTTATTTCCAACAAACTCAGAGTCTCCTCTAATCAATTTTTTGGTGAATTTTCGCAGCATCGAAACAAACATCTAATACCGTCATTATGTTTTATTTCTTTTCTCTGTTTGGAGTACCAGAAACTGAATTCACTACGAATTTTGACCACGATGAACCGCAGGTGGAAAGCATATTTTAGATTCCCTTGCCGAGTAATTCATCACGCTGTCTGCTTTGCAAGTTGTAGAAGGCATAGTGGTAAAAATTTGAATTCAGTTTCGCCAGGTAGGAAATCGTATGATTTCTCTGGTTGCTTTAGATTGTCTTCGAAGATTTTAAGACGCAATTTTTACAGTGATAAATAAAACCCTACAAAATTCAGTTTCAATTACACAATTTTTCTGATTATTAAAAAAAAATTAGGTTAGTTTTATGAGTGAATTCTTTAGCTATAGTTTATTTTTATGAACGAGAGAGTAATTAGCATAATTTTAACTGGTACCTCCGACCACTCCATGGGCGTGCTCAAGATTAATTGAAAAATTACTTTGAATAATTGTAAAAAATTAATGAATTATTTCAGTGTTATAAAGTGTTATGTGTATATAAACAAAAGTGACCTCTTTTATCACACACTATATTAGAACTGACTGGCCTACATTAAAAAGGGTTTTAAAAAATTCACATTTTTTTTTTAATTTTTAAAAATTACAAAAGAGAAAAAGAGTTTTTAAAACCGTCTAAGGTATGTTAAATAGATGAATAAAAATATTAATATAAAACTTACAGCTACTTGTTACAAATCCAAATAAGATTCAGAAGATTAACTTTCAGAACCAAGATTTATAATAACTGGCTCGATCATTTTATCAGTAATATTGTCCAGCTTCCACATTTTTTCCTCTTCTTTAATAGTGTGATTTACTGCCTTTTCTCAGTTTTCAGGTTTTACATTCTTTACGGCCTCCAAAAACAACTGTTTAACATCATGAATTTTAAAAGTGGTATTTTTTCTTGAAACTTCACTCTTTATCTGTGCCCATACCAGTTCAATCGGGTTTAATTCACAATGATATGGTGGGATCTAAGTACTGTCATTCCACGATTTTTGACAATTTCATCAATTTCGTAATTCTTTCCAATTCTGCAAGTCTTTTTTTAACCACTTGGTTGTGGGCCGTCCTTCTATAAGTCTGGAGTGATAACTTGCATTATCCATTACTATTACACAGTTCTTATGAAGAAGATCTATCATTTGTTCGAACCATTCTTGAAAGACATCAGCGTTCATGTCTTCATGGTAGTCACCGCTACGAGTTGATTCAAAAGTTAATAAACCACCTTCAACAAAACCGTCTGAACTGCCAATGTATACTATTATCAGCCTGCGTCCCTTTCCTGATGGTGGGTTTAAACCAGTAGATAAGTTATTTACAAAAGCGTGCCTTTGACTTGTAACAGTTTCATCTTGCCAAAATTTATTTGTGTATGACCCTCGTTGATCCATGTTTCATCAAGATAAAATATTTTTCTTTTTTGGTTTCTCATTTCCTTTATGGTTCTTAGAAAATTTCTTCTCCATATGACAATATCGCTTCTTTCTAATAAAATAGACTTTCTGGGATTCTTTTTCCAGCGGAAGCCTATTTCTTTTAAAAGTTTCCATAACGTACTTCGACTCATTTCTGGGTAATTCTTATCATCTCGAACTGAGACAAGAACTTTATCCAATGTTGGAAATTCTTGTCTAAAGAAGAATTCATGCACTTTCCGTCGAAGTCCTTCTTTAAAATGATATTCTATTTGAAATTTTGGTTTCCCTGGAGCATTACGTGGCATTTAAAAACTACCACATTTCTCTTCTTTAATAACTCTGTAAATCATAGATTTCCCAACACCAAGTGTACTGCTAACTAACTCAACGGTCTCATCAACACTTTCACATAAACGTTTGTCTCTAAATGATTTAAAACAATTAAATATTAATGTTTTTTCATTAACTGTTAAAGGACCAATTTTTCGGCGTTTACACGGCACTTCCAAATTTTCCATAACACTAGTATACACAATAAACTGCACCTTGCAACTGAAGTACCTACTTTTAGTGAACTGTTAAGAATTTTGAATACGTCACTTGGACCTTCCTACAAAATGGAAAAACCCACTATCACATTTTCTGTGGAATAAGTTTAGAAGGTAATTATCTAGTCAATTACTGTCGTAGATTCCTGGAATTAAAGAATTAAATGTTTGATTGTTGAAACCCTTACTTCGTGGAATGCACTCATTTCAGATAAAATAAAACGTTTTATTTTATTTAAAGAATTAAACTTTATTTTGCAAATAGGTAGGTACTTATTAAACTTTTATTGGTTATATATAACCAATAAAATAAACATCTTACATTTCTTGCAAATTCATTAGTACCTGTTAACCTCCATCACTTCGACACTGGCAACCTTATTTAGGATTAGTAACCCTCACAACTATTGTATTCTATTCTGCTTTAACCTTTATACCTGGTGGTCATACTCAATTTAAAATTGTTTTCTTATATACTTCTGTAAACTTGTTGACAAATATCTGTTTTTCATTGAGTCACCCGTATCAACAGTTTAGGGATTTGCATACATAATTTATTGTTTTATTACTCTCTCATACATAAAAATACACTATAATTGAGGGCTTTCACTTACGTACATCTGGAGGGCATATACCTGGAGCTAGGGAGAGAATAATGATTATTTTACCTATTTAATTAAGTATAGTTATTATAATAGTTGTATAATACCAGTTGTACATTGAGTTTTTAGAACAAATTAGTTAGGGCTTGTAAAATGCATTATTTATTGTTCTGAAGTTATTTTCTTGTGTCATTTTAATATTATTTACTTTCTTTAATGAGAAATTGACCGCAATATTGGTTGAAAATACGTGTAGTTAGTCTTAATGAGACAGCAATGGTACATTATATGATTTTTGTTTAGAATGTTATGTGGACTGTGCAGAACAAACGTTGTGTCACGGAAAGGTCACTTTACAACACACTAATGTCGTATTTCAATTATTGTGAGAAAATATCAAGTTTATTAACATTCAAGTATGCAAATAAGCGTTTATGGAGTAACGGTTGTAGAAAAAAATACATATCTTGTTGATTTTATATTATTTATTAACGAGATGTATATATATTTACCAAAACACAAAATAAAGGAATAAAGGAATGTTTAATAAATTGCGTTAAGTGGTTTATTCCATCATAATTTCTGGATTCGTTTTAGCTACAATAAAAAATGATCAACTTTCTGAAAACATAAAATTATCAGCACAAAATTTAGTTTTAGACTCGTTTGTGTGTTCACATTATCTACCTGCTCTCTAATATACTCGGCTTGTCTATTGATGAATAACACAAATTTCTTTCGAATTAACGTTTTATCTTTTGTCTCATAACAGTAGTTTAACTTAGAACTTTATTATGAATGAACCATTTTGATAATGCATCTAGCGCAGTTTGTTTTTCTAACATTTTGTTACGTTTATTTGAATTTTGAATTATTTTTAACGATATAATATATAGTATATTCCTAGAAATCAGAAAAAAATAGTAATTATTCATTTCTCATATATAGGATAGCATATTGAAATTATTGCACTTGAAACACGTTCAATGGAAGACGTTTTTGCAGGAAACCATGTTACACGGTGATTTTGCTGTCAAACGGGAGAGTTTTTGGTCGTAAATTAATGGATGCAAACCATCCGTCACTGGAAAACTTTCACTTTGGTGTACGCTCCCTCAAACATGTCATAGTTCTTGCTTCATATGAACTATGTCATAAGCGTTTCTAAGATCTATAAATACCATATGTAAGTGCGCGAGCTAACAGACTTAAAAGAATTTGAAAAAGTTTGGTACATCGGATAATAACTGAAAATTTGGAGATGAGAAAGCTCAGAACACTCGAGCAAAAACAGTATCGTGAAAGATGTTCAATTGGTTGTTTAGCAAATTTTCACAGCAACAAAGCAGAATTTTTGCGCCTTCTCATAACCATGGATGATATTTTCATAACCATGGAATATATTTGACCAAAACACTCATCACTTCACACCCAAGACAAAAGAACAATGGACTCAAAAGAAGAACCGGCTCCAACAAGGCAAAGACGTTTTATGATAATTTTCATTCCCATTTTCACCAGTTCACAGATTCCTTACTGCAATGGCAAAATTCACGAATTAAAGCTTGAATTGCTACGTCATGCACTCTATTCGCCAGATTTAGCCCCCTCGGATTATTTTCTGTTCGCAAACTTGAAAAAATTGCTCAGTAGTCCAAATTTTCCAACCGTGAAGAAGTGAGGTCAGCAGTTAATGCCTATTTTGAGAAGCTGGTCAACTTACTGAACATTACTGGGAAAAGTGGTTGAAACCTGAAAGGATGTTGAGAAATAAATACACTTTTTTCCTCAATTTGTTGTGTTTTCTTTGTTGGGTCGGTCGGATACTTCTGGGACCACCTACGTAATTGAGGATTAACTCCCTGTCAATTCTCGATTTATTATCTTGATAGATTATTTATATTTTTTTCTCCCATTGTCATTTTAACGGCTAAGATCGTTAGGAGAGTTTTTCCCACTCTGTTTTAAATTAATATGTATTCTGGGAACTTTATACGGACTTTACATTTCTTCATCGTTTAATATTTCTTGGTCTTTGTTATTAAACGATTTGATTTTCCTAATAGCGACATGTACAGAATATTTTCTTTTTCTATCACTTAGTTCGTTTTATATGCTGATATCTCATTCGATTTCGAGGCAGGTTTCTGGTACTTCACGCGACAGGGTATGCCTTTATAATCGTTTTCATCGTTCTTGGCGTGTGCGTGTAAAAACACTTGCAATAATTGTTTCATATGTCTTTCCTTGTCTAAGCTCGATTCGTTTACCTCCTCCAGTGGCGGAGCAAAATGTAGCATGTGAAACGAAATAATAGTTTATAAGAGAAAATTATAAATTATTTTTCATTAAATTTCTACTAACGGAATATACGTATAAAATTGCGAAGAAGTATTTTTCTAGCTTGCAGTACAATAGGACAGGATATAACGAAAAGAACATTTTAAAAGGATTTTGAAATATACCCAAAAAAGTGTTAATTATTTAACCCACTTTAATTAAAAAATGATACAGATTTTTTAAGTTTTAAGCACTGTAGCGAATTCTCAACTGTTACAACGTACTGACCTTGATTAATTAGCTAATCAGTCAGCGTCTTCACTGGAACTGTCTTCATCATTGGAATCTTCCGCCAAATCGATGATAATCCTACTTTCATTTTCATCATCTGTGAACATTTTTGCCCAGTCGTCCTGAATTAATTTTTCAGTATGGTTAACATAACTCGCCCACACTGCAGGTGTTGCCTCAGCTAATGCATCGCCCCAAACTTTTTTTACTGTTTCATCTCCACGTCCATATACTCCAATATGACGATCATAGTATTGTTTAGAAATGCCCCAGACCAACTCAATCGGATTATATTGACAGTGATATGGAGGTAATCTCAAAACATGATGCTCATGTTCTTGGAGTAGCTCGTCTATAACGTACCTAGTATTTTGTGGTTTCTGACATAGCACTCGTCTACTATTTTCTAGTTTGTATGAAAACCCACAATTTTTCATAAGACGCCACAAACTTGTATCAGAACCGTCATAGAGATGCTTGTTTCTTAATTGTGTTATTTAGAACTTTAATTGTAACGTGCTCTCCTTTTGCTTTCATGCCATATAGTTACATTTCTAATCTCTCCTTTTTATAAATATCGCTGACATCATTAGTCTTTTTTTGTACATTACGTGACTCTCCTGGTGTAGTAAGAGCTGCTCCTGTCTTGTATTTTCAAAGCGTCCGCTACTCGTTCATGTACCGATGATAACGAAAGCAAAGGTCCGTTGTTTTCTTTTTCTTTTTTAAAATACTTCAATAAATGAACTACACATTGTCGCATTTCTCCTGTTATCGTTTTTCTCGGCATTTTTTTTATTAAATAGAACAATTAGTTATTCACAACAAAAAATAATAAGTAAAACTGTTCGGAACAAATTCCAACAATGACTGACAAAATATCAAAATAAAACTACATAAAATATCAATGGTAATTGCTACAATTATAAACCTATTAGCCAGCTCATTCAAGAACAATGCCACAAGTCATTATTGCAATGGGTATCGGAAGAGAGAGAGTTAATTTATAATAAACTGGAAATTTTAAGGTGTCGAGAGTATTATTTTATGTAATTGAATTCCACACAGTAAGAGCTCAAACTATTAATTATTTAAAAACAGTTACTATATAAAAACTATTTCATCAGCTACTTTAAACCTGCACAGATCAGGGTAACATGTAAAAAAAAACACGTCACTGCCAGCTATCTGTATTCGTAAATAGGCCGAACTTATCACCGACACCGTATCGCCCAAACGCATCGGTGTTATTGCTACAATACTGGGAGACGTGAGTGGTCTCTTCATTCCCTTCTCATCGCACTTTACCATGACGAACGTCACTCGCACAATTGAATTACGCATCTGTGTATCAGAGAACGAATATTAAAAATTCCGTAGTAGCTTATTTCAGGCACACGCCAAGAACCATGAAAACGAGTATATAACGTTTTATGGTAGTTTATAGAGTTTTTATAGAAATGTGGATGGTTTTACAATGTTACAGACGCTATTAATATTAAATAGAATACCATATATAGCTACAGTGTGTCTACAGATGGTCCACAAAAAACTTTTCGCTAAAAATAAAAAAAAATAATAAACAGTTTTCTCTCTTGGACACCCCATCCGTGAACACATTGTATAAAAGTTCAAAAATATCGCATGCAATCAGTTAGAGATAAATTAGTTTAGATAAAAATTTTAAAATTAAGTGTAAGTAACAATATTTTCATATGGTAACCGGAAACATAAGTGCATTTGTCAATTAGTTTTACAAAATCCCATAATAAAGCTTTAAAGTAATTACCAAATCGTATGACAAAACGTGATACATATATATATATATATAATATATATAATATATATATATATATATATATATATATATATAGTATATATATATATATATATATATATAACAAAAACAACCAAATTTGATTTACAGCACAGAGCTCGCATATCACGGAGGTAATCGAAGAAGTAGGACCACCGGAGGAGACTTCTGGAGGTTTCGCGATCGTTGTCAACGGTCATTCTTTGGTGCACTGTTTACATCCCCAAATGGAAAGGTTATTTTTGGAAGTAGTGATGCAATGTAAATCTGTGATTTGCTGTAGAGTAACTCCGTTACAAAAGGCGTTGGTGGTGGAATTGGTTAAGAAGAACAAACAAGCCGTGACGTTGGCTATAGGCGACGGAGCGAATGACGTGTCAATGATTAAAGGTGAGGAATTTTACGTTTTTCAGAACATATATAAGAAAAATACGAATTTTTAATCAAGGGGCCATCTTATATTCTTAACCAAGTGACAAGGAAAAGTCTTAAAAAGGAAAACTTCTAAGAAATTTCAATTCCTATGTGTATCAAGCAAAAGGTTTATAATCAATGTGTTTAAACCTGTACAAACTGATGGAGCAGAGACTTCGGAGAGGTTTAGACTGTGCAGTTATCATCTATATAGTAGAGCAATAGAGCCAGTTCTGGCTCACAGTGAGCGAGAACCGCCATACAATCAGTGTTGAGTCAGAAACGTCGTTCTATGGTACCCATTGATACAGAATCCATCTTCTACGTGGTCCTCCTCTACTTCTTGTGCCCTCTGGCTTTGAAAATGTTAATCTCTTCATGTATTCGTGATTTGACATCCTAGCAATGTGGCCAGCCCATATAAGTCTCTGCACTTTAACGAATTTCACAATATCTGGATTGGTGTATAACTGATACACTTCAAAGTTGTATCTTCGACTCCATAGCCCATTTTTATTTACAGCCCCAAAAATCTTTCTAAGAATTTTTCTCTCAAAAAATACCAAGAAGTCTGCCATCATTTTGAGATAAGGTCCACCTTTTCTGCCCCATATATCAAATCCGGTCTTATTAAGGTCTTGTATATATTGATCTTTACTGCACGTTTTATATTTTTATTTTTTTAATGTTTCTGTCCCCTCTTTCCTCTACGGAAAGAGGGACCAGGAAGAAGAAGAATATCATGGCTCGCGAATTTACGAAAATGGTTTTCCTTGACCACTTCAGGACTATTTCGAGCTGCGGTCAATAAAGTTAGAATTGCCATGCTAGTTGCCAACATCCGTAACGGATAGGCACCACAAGAAGAAGAAGAATATGATAAGAAAAGGCAGCAAATATTTGATTTCACGCAAACAAATCCTATGTATCTCTTGATACGTATTTCGACCTAATAGGTCTCGTCAGAAGAGCTATTCATAGGATTCTCATTCATTGGTTAAAAGACAGAAAATATTGATTTTTTCACGTTGAGAACCCCTATGATTAGCTCTTCTGACGAAACCTATTAGGTCGAAATACGTATCAAGAGATACATAGGATTTGTTTGCGTGAAATCAAATATTTGCTGCCTTTTCTCATTTTATTCGGATATACTCTGTGGGAGTACGAGAAACACAATTCGCTAAGGATTTCTGGTTAGTTGTAAAAGACATGTCGTGGAATGCAAATTTTAGATTCCCCATGTCTCTTTTAACATCTTTTATCAACGTCTGTTTGCCTTGCAATTCTTAGAAGGCTCAGATTATAAAGCAGAAATCTGAATTGTGTTTCGAAACTATTTTACGATTGTTTAAGAAGAAGAATGTTTCTGAAGACCGTGAACAGTTGTTTGCTATTGCTATGCGTCTTTTTATTTCGTCGCTTGTCGTGTTTGTTTCGTTTACTAGCGATCCAAAATATGTGAAATTTTTGACTTGCTTAAAGGTATGGTTGTTAATTTGAATTCAATGTTGGATATTTAAGGGGGTTTTTAGAAACTAAAATAGATTTGGTTTTTCCTCGTTTACCACAAGTCCTAATTCACTTGCCGAGTCCGCAAGCCTTGTAAAACACTGCACCATCTCTTTCATACTTCTACCCACTATAACTATATCGTCAGCGAATGCGAGAATTTGCGTCGATCTATTAAAAGTAGTTCTATTGATTTTAATATGTAATTGCCTGATTGCCTTTTCCAAGGTATTATTAAAGAGGAGACACTCCAGCACGTCCCCCTGTCGTAGACCATTATTAATATTACGTAGAGTTTTCTCCTTCAATTCTAACGCATGAGCTTATGTTTTGCAATTTTAGCTGGGTCAACTTAACTAACTTAGGTGGGATCACAAAGTCTATCATTGCATTATATTCTTGCTTTAAAACAGCATTTTCTGCTGTTAAATATAAAAGCTCTGCTTCCATTTCTTTTCAAAGTTGTTGTTTTCTCTTACGACACCTATTTTGGGCGGCTTTATTTATTTCCCTAATTTTTTTTTAGCTTGTTAGCTGAAGATTCGGTGTCTTTTTGAATCCTATCTGTACTTGACAAAGATATCAAAGGCACAACTGTCACAAGTTTATTTTCTTCCTCTGCAAATTTTTCCTTCTTTAAATTATTTTGAATTGTTTTCTTAATTTTTTCTTTTAAATTATATATTATATAATGCAGTTCTTTTCACACTGTCATAGGCTACTTTGAAGTCGACGAAGAGATGGTGTGTATCTATGTTATATTGTAGTGACTTTTTTAGAATCTGTCTATATGCTTCAATTGATGTGTATTTGACTTTCCAGCAGTAAATCCAATAATCCTTGGTACATATCCTACATAATAAACAATATCCTTGGTAGTATGTGTAAGTTGTTCAAAAAATACATTGCCGAAGATTTTATACGCAGATGCTAACAGAGTAATGCCTCTATAGTTCTTACACCAGTTGATCACCCTTTTATGCAACGAACATATTATTCCCTTTAGCCACTCTTCTGGTACCAATTCATTCTGCAATCTAAGTACTTGATCACCACCTTTTTTGTTTATTTCCTAACAGATTTCATTCGATTCCTGGGGCTTCATTATCTTTGAGCTTTAGAATGACATTTGACACTTCTTCACTGGTTAGGTCTTCACTGTGTAGTTGACGTTGTAGATTTTGTTGATTGTCTATGTTGTAACCTCATTCAATATCGTTTATATGTAGATGCTCGCTGAAATGTTGTGCCCATCTGTTGAAAACTGAGTTTTTATCATGTAGAATTTCACCATTAGTGTCTACAAATTTTTAATGGTGGTTTAAATTCTCGACTGCTATTATACTGTCATACTGATATAAAGAATAATCAAGTCTGAAGCCTTCATTATATCTAAAGTTTATTTTAATGGAATACATTGTGTGATTTTTTTCAGCTGCACATATTGGGGTTGGAATATCAGGCCAAGAAGGAATGCAAGCTGTTCTAGCTTCTGACTACTCAATAGCACAGTTCAGGTTTTTGGAAAGGTTACTATTGGTACATGGAAGATGGTCCTATTACAGAATGTGTAGCTTTTTAAGATACTTTTTTAACAAAAACTTTGCTTTCACTCTGTGCCATTTTTGGTATGCCTTCTTTTGCGGGTTTAGCGCTCAGGTAAGCATTTTTTTTTTTTAATAAAAACTTGCTCATTTTGGTTCTAGTGTTCGTGAAATTTTCAATAAAATCGAGTTTTTTATGTAATGTAAGTAGTGGGTTCATAAGCCACCATTTAGAAATGAATTTTTATTTTGTAGATTTGTGATTTTTAAAAAATTTTGAAAAAAAGTGGTAAAAATAACGTTTTGGAAATTTGATTCGAGTTGGTAGTTCGAGTTTTTAGTGGTAAAAATATACAGTTATCTCCTTCAAAACCATAAAGAAAATTTATCTAAACAAAAATGACATATCATTTTTCTGTTTTTTATAAAATAATTGTGCAATCCAGCTCTGTCCTACAAATTCAAACATTTTCAGAGCTTTATTACATGGAAAATTATATATTCTATTAGTATTTACCGGTCTATACATTTATTTATGTATAGAATAGTAAACAAATTTTAGTAGATGAGTAAGGTTCGTTCTGACATCAGAATCGGGTTTTGTCGGGTATCTTCGAGTCGTGATCGTTTTTCAAGATGGCGGTTCCTGTTGGAACGTGAGCTTACGTATCCTCGTGTCTTGGGACTACGTCCCCAACCAATGGTGGCATAGTAATGCCCTCGTGATGTTGGATTGCGATCGTTTCCGAAGATACCAGACAAAACCCGATTCTGATGCCAGAACGAACCTTACTCATCTACTAGCTTTCAATTCTGCTCACCAATTGGGTGATCCTAGGGCATTTTTTAAAACTCTTATTGCTTTATTAGTAAAATTTGTATGATCTAAACAATCAGGCATACAATATAAAGTATTACTGATAATCATTGAAGACAATCAAGTTTTCTTCACGAATGAAAATAATTTCTTCTAATTATTTTCATTCGTGAAATTAATTCTAAGGAATCAGTTCAAAGACAACTGAACGAAAATTTAATTTGGGAAAATATTGGTGAAAACGTCGATGAGGGCTTAAATAAAATCGTAACGACAGTAAAAGAAATCTGTGTGAGAAATTTACAAGGCAGGTCAAAGCCAAAAAAGCAGGCTTGGATGACAGATGATATACTGGATTTGATGGAACAACGGCGACTAGCAAAAACCAACGAAACACTTTACAATAGCATACAAAAAGAAATTCGACGTAAAATACGAGAAGCAAAGAGTCAACATCTAGCCAAACAGTGTCATGACATTGAAGAACTCGAAAAAAGATACGACATGTTTAACATGTATAAAAAAGTAAAAGAAGCGGCTGGTATCTTCAATAAGAAACAAAATGCATTGCTACAGGATGAAAATGGTAAAGTAATATTCGAAGTAGAGGACAAACTTAAAGAATGGGAAAATTACGTCACGAACCTATTCGAAGACGATAGGAGTAGTTCACCTCCCGATATTACTAACTGCGACGGACCCCTAATAACACGCTGTGAGGTTACAAAGGCCATACAATCATCAAAAGATGGCAGAGCGACTGGTCCTGATGAAATTCCAACTGAAATATATAAGCCTTATAAAGGATAGCAATGTTTTTAGAGGCTATAACTTCGTTTTTCAATACCATTTATACCAGCGGACAACTACCTAATGGTTGGTCTAACTCACTGTTTATAGCTCTACCTAAGAAGACAACAGCAAAAACCTGTGCTGATTATAGAACCATCAGTTTGTTAAACCACTTATTGAAAATTTTTCTGAAGGTAATACATGGTCGTATCTACAATAAATGTGAGGAATACCTGAATGACACTCAGTTTGGTTTCCGTAACGGATTTGGAACGAGAGAGGCACTGTTTGGAATGAACGTACTTGCTCAGAGATGTCGTGATATATCTGTAGACATATACTGTTGTTTTATTGACTTTCAAAAGGCATTTGATCGTGTTAAGCACTCTATATTGATCGAAGCTCTAAAAGACATTGGCTTGGACGGCAGAGATGTTCAAATAATTGCAAATTTGTATTGGAATCAAACAACATCAGTTTTAGTAGATGGTGTGGAATCACAAGCTCTCAATATTAAAAGAGGAGTACGGCAGGGATGCCTCTTGTCACCCCTGCTTTTTAACGTTTACTCCGAAAGAATTTCAGAAAAGCACTTTCTGAAAAACAAGAAGGAATACTTGTGAACGGCGAAGTCATCAATAATTTGCGATATGCGGACGATACAGTACTCCTAGCTTCTAGTCAAGAAGATCTGCAAACGCTACTTGATAGTGTCGTTGAGAGTTGTAGAGAGGCAGGTCTGGATCTTAACATAAGGAAAACCAAAATACTCGTAATAAGTAAACAACAGAATATAAAACCGTCTATATATGTAAATAATATCAAACTTGAGCAAGTTGATAAAATCGTCTACCTTGGACAGCAATTAAATTGTAATGCAGAAAATCACGGCGAAATTAGATCCAGAATAGAGCAGGCTAGAGCTGCTTTTAGAAGGATGTCCAAGGTGTTATGTAACAGAGACCTAAAATTGGCATTAAGGATCCGCCTACTTCGCTGCTACGTGTTCTCGGTCTTACTTTATGCTGTCGAGTCCTGGACTGTGAATAAAATCGATCTAAATCGCCTTGAGGCTTTCGAAATGGGGTGCTATAGAAGAATTTTAAAAGTTTCCTGGGTGGAGAAGATTCGTAACTGCACAATACTAGAACGTCTCAGCAAGACTACTGAGATCATAAAAAGCATCAAGCAGAGAAAGCTGGAATATTTCGGACATGTAATGAGAGGTCCCAAATATAGATTGCTACAAAACATCATGCAAGGAAAAATAGCAGGCAAACGCAGTCCAGGACGAAGAAGAACTTCATGGTTGAAGAACTTGCGAGACTGGTATGGTGTAGATACAAGCATGCTATTTAGGGTGGCAGTGAATAAAATTAAAATAGCTATGATGGTAACCAACGTTCTGAAAGGACATGGTACATGAAGAAGAAGAAGTTAACTTGGTTGGTGGAATGGAAATAATATATAGATTCACAATAAACAAAATAGACCAAGTAATTTTACCACTACTGTTTCTTTCTCAATTTATGTATGAAGTGGTATATGCCTAATTGACATAATCTAGTTGACCTAATAGGCCAACTTAATCGTCAGCACATATTTAAAATTTCACGTATTTAAAACTTGTAAGAAGAGAATAGTAATTGTTTTATTTTCAGACTGTCTTTGATCCCATGTATATATCGATCTACAATCTTTTCTATACATCGTTACCCGTCCTAGGGGTCGGCATATTCGACCAAGACGTAAATGACAAGAATAGTGTCCTTTACCCACAGTTGTATAAACCAGGTCACTATAACCTTTTCTTCAACAAAAAGGAATTTTTTAGAAGTGCTCTTCAAGGGTGCTTCGTCTCAATGGTGCTTTTCTTTGTTCCTTTTGGTAAGTTATTTTTATGTTTTAGTAAGTGTAGTATATTATATTATGTACATTGAAATGATTTCAATATGTTAAAAAGGATACAACTTAAATGGATTTTTATATGCGTTTGTTGTTCATGAATTTCATGAAGCCATCACAAAATGGGTTCGATTCTGAAATAAAAGAGAGAAAAAGATTAGTAAATTGTTAAATAAATTAATTTTGACTTACCTGGTATAGTGTTAATAATTTCTGAATAGTATAGTTACCTAGTGTATAGGTGAATCGTCTAAACCTTAAAAAGAACAAAAAAGAAGAATTCTTAAAAAATATTTAAACATAGAAATTTTAAAAAACGTCAGAAAATAAACTGTCAAGCAAGTCTGTGGGAGCTAAATTAATAGGGGTTTTGTTAAATAAGAAATTACAATGATGTGGAGATGAAAAGAATAAATTGTATTAGCATTGTAATAGAATAAGTTTTATATCTGAACATTTTTTTTATAAATTCCCAAATTAGATGTGACCCATTAATGGCCAAGCATTGAAATACTTAGATTTTTTGCAATTTAAGTTTATATACTTTATAAAATAAAGGCATAAGAACAATATTTCACTTAAAATTATTATTAATAATAATTGCAATATACAAAAAAATAATGTTTCGTTAACGAAACTTTGGCATAATATGTGTAGTAAATTGAAAATTATACGTTTTATAGTGTGTAAATGAAATTTCTTGATTTTATCAATTAAAACTAAAGGTATTGCTACAATAGTTAATTATATAAAATAAAATGATTACTTAACAGTCTGGTAGTATGGCAGTAGCGCCATTATGGCATCTCATTTTTATGGAAAGCACTAAAACAGTCAGCGTGCAAGTGAACCTTGCATTTTGCGGATGTGGATGGCTTTGGCCCTGGGTCTGATTCGGAGTCATCTTCTTCAGCAGCTGTTTTTATCGTAAATCTTTTTTCGTTCTGTATCAGTGACAAAATCAACGAAGAACGAAATTGCAATTGGGAGACTCGAGAATCATTTGCAATGTTGTAAATTCTCCGTGAATTTACCACTTTTTATTTCTTACTCGGATCCGGTAATTTGCTACCGAATTATCTAGCAGATCAACACCTCCCATATGTCGGTTATAACCGTTAATCATATTGGGCTGAGGTATTGAATCTTCCTTTCGTAGCTTCTGATTATATCTTTTAACTGTAACAATTGGATGAACTGTTCCATTGTTGCTGGTTACAGTTACAACGGAATTATCGTTCCACCTTGCAACTGATACTTCTGCCTTTTTGTCGAAAGCATGATCAAACTCGCCTCTGTTTTTCTTTCCAAGCACTTTACTACTTTGTAGAGGACATCCTGGTGACCTATTCTCTCTCACGGTGCTAGTAAAGAAAATTCCTTTTTCACCTAGAATGTGAAATAGTGCATAACTCGAAAAGAAGTTATCGAAGAAAACTCTATGTTCTGAAGGGTTTTGCATTACAAGTAGCAGATCCAAAACTACTTGCGTCCCTAACGTGTATTGTGATTTCTGCCTTTCTGGATTTGCGCCGTCATAAGGAATGAATTGGTATAGATATCCCTCTGAGCTACACAAGCACCAGACCTTGAAGCCAAAGCACACTGGTTTACCCTTCATAAACATCTTTGCAGAATGTCGGCTGAAATAAGGAATCATTTGTTTATCTATATACATATTAGGAGAAAATAGTTCAAACTGCAAATATCGTTCGTTCATCAGCAAAAATAATGGACGTATTTTGGCAAATTTATCATTTTTGTCTATGTCATTATTGTCAGAGACATGAAAATTTCTTTTTATGTTTCGGAAGGTGTTTCGACTCATGTACTTTCTTACCAGCTCCACGCCTTTATCTGGGTCTTTTGACCAATACATATCACACGCCGGAAGTTTATGATAACCGGTAAGGATTAAAATACCAAAAAACTTTTGCAGTTGAGCTGGAGAGCGTTTAAAATCATGTCTGTTGTTTTCCCGGGCATACGTCAGGCTGAATTCGAGTATCTTCTGGAATAAAATATCGTCAAAAAATAAAGAGAATATTTCAAATGGTGTTTTCCCAGCCAGTCTCAGCTTTATTTCTTCCTTTTTATTAAATTCATTGTCTTTTGGAGAAGAGGAATAGTTTTCTAACGATTTAGACCAGTCAGGTGTATATTGCGTTGGTATGCATTTTCGTTCGGAATTTACTTTTCTTTTCTTCCCCTTCTTGTAGATGGTTCCAATATGAATTCTGTGGGCGTCTTAGCCTCTTCTCGAGACCTTGTGTGAATCTCAAATGTACCAGCGATATCAGTCAAAGCTTCTTCCTCTATAAGAAGATTATCATTCGAATCCTCTTCATCTGTTAACACATCAACTAAAGGTAGGTATATAAACTGCCTCTATATCATCCGCTTCTTCTAAATCAGAATCATCCTCCAGTATAGCTTGCAATTCTTTCACTATCAAATATGGATAATAAATTTAGGGATCGCGCCAAAGTTTCGTAAACGAAACATTATCTTTAAAGTGTTATAAAATTTTATGAGTAGTCATATTTCAAATTATGTTTGGATAATATCATTCTACAATCTCTAATTGATCAAAGAATGCCGGTTTGGTCGAATTTTAAATATCTTGTGATATAATATGCGAGCTCAAACGACACCGACAGATACTAGTAAATTTGGAGTGTTTTGTTTATTATTTTATAAACTATGCAGCACATAATTTAGACCATTAAAATAACAAACACGTTAATAAACTATCTATATGAAAGACTCATACATAAAATATAATTAATCATCATATGAAAATCGTAAAAAAAAATAATTAAAAAAATGTTTCGTTTTCGATACTTTGGCCATTAATGGGTTAAAGTGATTATGAGAAATTAATGTGGATTGACAAATGTGTCAGAACAGGACAGTTTTATGGTTTAAAAAAAGAGAAGACGAAAAGAAAAAGAACGTTGGTTGCTGTTAGCAACGGATAATTGGTTTTTTGGAGAAGGCCGACGAGGATTTTTCGACGAAGGGGGCCCTGAAACTGTGGAATAGGTCGGGAGTGTTTTTTTAACTCGTCTAATTAGAAATTTAGTTTTTCCACAGTTTCCACACCAGAGATATCCAGAATTTGTTCCAGAGAGTAAGAGAAACAATTTGACTTATAAATTATTTTGGAGTACAGAAATGTCATTTAAATTGAGAAAATTAAAAATCATGAATTAACATAATTGCGATAGGCCTTAAAAATTGAAAATATTATGATCATTAAATTAAAAATAGTATAGTACGTACCTTAACTTCCGAAGAGAGGATTGATATTCCAGTTTCACCGATTATTTTGCGAGTAGTTAGTTTTCTTTAAAGAAATCAGAACTGTTTTAAAGTGAGGTTGGATAATAATTTTGGGGATCATTTGAAATTTTGTTTATATTTGAATGCAAGTTTTAAGTCAGCGGAATAAAGTGTTCAGTTTCTTTTTCTTTATAGTTCATTTAAACACTTTATAAAGTTGCAATATTTATTTAGTTTTTAGGTACTTGTAGAGAGTCTCCACATTTTGTAATAAATTTTTATTGTCACGACACTAAACCACATTAAGATTTACACGATTCCTATTTTTGTAAATTTTTAAAAGCAACCCAAGTTGCAGACGAATTTTATTGTTTATATTAAATTTGTTGAATATTAATAAATAACGTGCTTCATTTGGGTTAATTTATCAAAAGTCTAAAGTAAATTTTGGTTTAATTTCTTTTTGAACTCTACCAGGAGACTACAGAGTCGACGTCACACAGTGACAGATTGCTTAGAACACATAATTGAGCTAGCTGAGGTATATATTAAATTAAACAACGAACCACATATTTTAAAAATTACAACATTTATTATAAATAAAAATAAAATTAATAAAATACAACTTTAATCATTGATATATTGAAAAATATAATTATTTTTGCGAGTAATTTTCATTAAAAATTGAAAATATTATGATCATTAAATTAAAAATAGTATAGTACGTACCTTAACTTCCGAAGAGAGGATTGATATTCCAGTTTCACCGATTATTTTGCGAGTAGTTAGTTTTCTTTAAAGAAATCAGAACTGTTTTAAAGTGAGGTTGGATAATAATTTTGGGGATCATTTGAAATTTTGTTTATATTTGAATGCAAGTTTTAAGTCAGCGGAATAAAGTGTTCAGTTTCTTTTTCTTTATAGTTCATTTAAACACTTTATAAAGTTGCAATATTTATTTAGTTTTTAGGTACTTGTAGAGAGTCTCCACATTTTGTAATAAATTTTTATTGTCACGACACTAAACCACATTAAGATTTACACGATTCCTATTTTGTAAATTTTTAAAAGCATCCCAAGTTGCAGACGAATTTTATTGTTTATATTAAATTTGTTGAATATTAATAAATAACGTGCTTCATTTGGGTTAATTTATCAAAAGTCTAAAGTAAATTTTGGTTTAATTTCTTTTTGAACTCTACCAGGAGACTACAGAGTCGACGTCACACAGTGACAGATTGCTTAGAACACATAATTGAGCTAGCTGAGGTATATATTAAATTAAACAACGAACCACATATTTTAAAAATTACAACATTTATTATAAATAAAAATAAAATTAATAAAATACAACTTTATCATTGATATATTGAAAAATATAATTATTTTTGCGAGTAATTTTATATGAGCAAGCAAAGCTCATCAATGCCATTCGTTGGACCGAAATCCTATTGCGGAGTTGCAAAGACAGTAACAAGAATGGCTACAAAAAAGTGGGTAGCTCACAAATTTCTGGAATAGTGGAGGAATTCATTAGGACAAAGATAGGCGAAACAGTTCATTACACAACATTCACCAAAATTACGACAGATCTAATAAGCAAGGACAGGAAAACAGTCAAGGCCATAGTATGTCTGCTAACAGGGCACTATAAGCTGAATAAGATAGTTGAAGTTGATGGGATTGGCAGATGATGACCTGCAACTTCGGTCACTTAAAAGAAGAAACAGCAGAGCACTTTTATGTCAGTATGTCAACCTGGCAAATGTGCGGTTCTCTGTAGGTGATAAAAAGCCTCCAGAAAAGAGCTACATGGAAGTTATTAGACCTTTTGAAAACAGTCAGTCTAGACCAGCCATGTCAAACTAAAAGTACTTAGCGGGCCATTTTTAAAATGATCACAGTATCAATGGGCCGCGCCGCAAGACTCGGCCAAACAAAAAAAAATGTATAGTAAAGATAGTCCAGCAATCGTTTAATAGTTTAATTACATAATAAAAGTAAATAATTTAACAAAACAGGTAGGTAAGTTAAGTTGCAATAATTACAATTTTTTCCCTGAAATCTGACACCTTTTATCTTTAATTAAGTTATCTATTTGAGGAGTAAATTTATCTGCTGAAATCAATTTCAGTACTGCATCCAAGTGTGTGTCAGTCAATCGCGATCGTGTCGGTGATTTATTTCCTTTCATCAAGGAAAATAATTGCTCGCACTGATAGGTACTTCCGAACATTGATATCACTTTGCAAGCAAAGTTCCGTAGTTCTTCATACTGGACAGGTAGGTACTTGTCCAGATAAAATTCAGATGAACCAAGATCATTAAATTTTTGTTTCAAGTGAGTCTGACATTGAATTTCAATGACATCCATCTGCAAGTGATCGGGAACTTTTTCTATGTCAATGGAGAAAAGGCCTGTGAATAAGGAAAAATTTGCATATTGAAGTCTAAAATCTTGAAAACGTCTCTCAAACTCGGCCTGCAGACTTCTAATTTTCTCGACATATTTATTATACGAAATTTCGACACTACTGTTTTCTTGGAAGTTCTTGCATGTCGGAAAATGCGACAAATTATTAACTGCTAACTGCTTTTCCCACAGTAATAACTTGCACTTGAAAGCTTTTACTTGATCGTTCATGTCTGTAATAATTTGACGTGGTCCTTGCAACTTTGTATTTAGCTCTGATAGGTGTTTTGTGATATCTACCATAAAAGAAAGATCTTGTAAAAATGATACATCGGACAGCAAACTGACATCTTGGTTTTTTATTTCCATGAAAAGTCGTATTTCCTCTCTTAGTTTCCAAAATCGATCGAGAACCATAGAACACGAAAGCCACCGCACCTCCGTATAATAAGGCAAGCCCGCGTATTCACTTTCTAAATCGCGTAGAAACGCAGTAAATTGTCGCTGATTCAAACCACGTGATCTTATAAAGTTAATAATTTTTTTTACTGCTTTTAACACACTTTCCATCTTTTTTATCACTTTTGAACATAGGATTTCTTGGTGTATTATACAATGAACGTGGTGAAAATCTGGTACGTCTTTGTATGTCTCCTTAATTCTGGTCTGTAATAATTTAATGAAGCCATTATTTATTCCTGTCATAGAAGGAGCCCCGTCAGTTGCAACAGAAGACAATTTTGATAAATTCAAATTATACCGTTGTAGCAGTTCATACACAGCATTCAATATATCCTCCCCAGTCGTTGTGTCATGCAAAGGCACCAATTCCAGTAGTTCTTCATAAATATTCATTTCTTTATCAACAGCACGAAAAAAAACAGCGAGTTGAGCCACACCACACACGTCTGTACTTTCGTCGCAGGCAATTGAAAATGCGATAAAAGTATCTGATTTCATTTTTATTTGATCGCTTATGTTACTAGCCAACTCAGTGACTCTTTAGCGACTGTATTCCGCGACAAAGATATACTTTGAAAAGCTTTAACACTTCTGGGACAAACAATTTCTGCGGCTTTCAGCAAAAGGTTTTGAGTGTTTGGCGATTAATGTTGAAAGTACGTAACTTGCATAAACAGCAGACTCATTGACTGCATAGCAACAGGCTGGCGCAGGCGCAGGTATTAAGTAGCCTCGCCCGAAATGTAATAGAAAACACTTGAAAATATTATCTGTCATTATCGGTTTGTACATAATAGACGGCCTTAAAGATAGTAGTGTCCACTTTATTGGTTAAACGAAAATAAACTTTATTTAACAGGCAGTGGAGTTTTTTTGCAACAAAATTACCTGCTATTTCGCAAACAATAGAACCCAAGATAAAGCGGTCAGACCGCAGGGGTGCAAATTTTTATCACCTTATCACCAGACCCTTCTCTCACAAGGCATTTCCAACAATCACAATATGTACTTCTCAAGTATTGCAGTTGCAGTGCGTGCGGGAGAGAAGCACAGCCATTTTCTGCCCCTGTGCTATTCATGCGTTCTTATAAAATGTTTTAACTATTGTACTACATACATTGGGATAGGCTTCGTGGGCCGCAGAAAATTACCTGATATGATCGGGCTGCGGGCCGCAAGAAAATGCCTGAAAGGCCGCATGTTTGACATGCCTGGTCTAGAGAATATAATCCAGGATTAGAGAACCACAATAGATCTGAAAAGGTCGCAATGGAATAGGCCAAAAGCCACATCATTGAATCTATCCTATGTATGTGTATTTTTTTTTGCAATATATTTATAGAAATAAACGAGTCTTTTATAATTTTAGGTACTTACTTTGATGCAGTCGGCTATAATGGTCAAGGTTTATCAGACTATATGTTATTTTGTAGTGTGACTGCAGCTATACTAGTTATAGTTAATACTGCACAGGTAAGAATATATTTTGTATAATTATTTAATCAGTTTTTGACAATGTTTCGCTATACAGTAAGCGCCACGCTAATAGACATACGGGCACATTGAGCTGATACAGTCCTGGGCCCTTCCCCTTGTTGCACTGTTTACTTTTATGCTGAGAAGTATACAGTTCATAAAAGTAAATAATGAGACTAAGAAAAACAAAACCTTACTTAATTAGTTTAATAATTGAGTTCACTGTACGTCGAGTATTTGTATTAAAACATCACAAATTTGTTTTGTTTTGATATTCTTTTGCTCGTAAAACCTATCAGAAAAACAATTCTAATTTAATATTCTATTGTAACTTCACGAACACATTTTCGAGGTGATATATTATTTTATAGTACATTACAATTAGGTAATTAATCAAAAGAATATGAAAATAAACTTTCTGATGTTGATAATTATTTTTTGGAACAAAAACAACGAAATTTTTTCAAACTAAATCTAATTCAAGAAATATAAAATAATAAATAACTATAAATAAATAATAAAAAATAAAATTGTGTATGGAAAAACAAGTTTGAATAGTTTGGCCCTCCACGTACTTCTCAGCTGAAATCAGTCACAAATATAACGACATCTTTGGGTGACGGTTGAAAGTCGCTTATGAGAATGGGCCGGATTGGCTCAGTACATTAAATAATAAAAGTCAAGCGATTAGGTAACGTGTGTTTAGTAGCGTGGCGCTTACTGTACTTCATCTGTGACCCGTCTGCAACTCAAAAAATGAAAGGAATTAACTGTTAATGATACTTACGTATGGGAATCCACACCGCAGTCATTTTTGTCCAGTGCATAATGAGAAATGACGATAGGTTAGGCCCTCTGCCTACCAGTTATTATTTCTTCAGTGGAGTATTATCTGATAAACTCCAATTGGAGAGAAACATGGCATAGTGGACCGGAGCACAAACTTTGAGTCACTGTTAGTCAGAAAATGGCATATACAAAGTGGTTCGAAAGTCTGGAAATGACCAATTATCTAGTAAATTGCTAGTCATAATTTTATAAAATTTGAAGTACACATATTTTGGGATATGGAGATTCCATATTTGATATTTACAATGTTGCCAGATTGGCCGTTTCTCTTATGTTATTAGTAACTTTGGTTTTTCAAGTTCATCACCCTGTATATTCAGTCATTATTGGAATCTCCTATTCAATACGAGTTCATATATAACACTTATGATTTTATGTAGTATGGAAGGTCTTAAATAAATAAAACAGTGCAAAATATGTAGATTTTAATAAATTTAAATATTTAAATGTAGAATGCTGTGATTTTGACATTTATTCACCTTTTACATTATTAACTAAAACTGACAGTAGTGCTGTTTCAAAAAGTGCTGAAAGATAAATTGCTTCTGTAAAATGGCTCTTAACGAAAAAGAACGAATTACTATTCTAATGATAAGAGGGTACGGTGACAGATCTTATTGTAAAGTATCCGACTTGTTCAATGATACTTTCCCAAACCGTTCTCCTATTCATAAAGTGACGGTACAAAAAACTGTAAAGCAGAAGTAAAATATAGATACTGATCAGGTAGACTGAAAAGAGTTATGCATGAGAACAAAACTTTAGATATAATGCAAAGTTTTAATGAAGATCCACATACATCCTCACGCAGGGTTGCATAAGTACATGATGTAGGTCGTTCTTCAGTCTTATGTGTATTACGTAAGAATAAATGCAAACCATATAAAATTATTGCAAGAATTAAGTGAAGATGACTTCGATCGTAGATTAGAGTTTACTGAGGTAATGATGGATAAAATTGAAAATGATGAAAATTTCGTTAACAGAATATGTTTTTCCGATGAAACAACCTTTACACTGTATGGAACTGTAAATCGACTCAATTTAATGCGTGAATACGAAATATTACTTAGAAATGAAATTGTACCTGCACTGAGAAACCTGTTTGGGGCCAATTTTAATCAAATATGCTTTCGGCAAAATGGATCTCCAGCTCATTTTGGTGTAAATTTTCGGCGTTATTTAGATGAGATATTTCCCGGACGATGGATTGGTAGACGAGGCAGAATTGAATGGCCTCCACGTTCACCTGATTTCAATCCTAAAGATTATTTTTATTGGGGATACTCGAAAAATTCAGTTTACAAAACTAAACCAGCAAGTATTGCAGAGCTAAGCCAACGAATTATCGATGAATCTTGAATAATTTCTAGACAATCATGGAGAAATGTGGTAGACGCATTCTACCATCGATTAGGGTACTGTTAACTCACAAATGGAGTACGTTTTTAACATTTGATAAAGTAACCATTATGTTAAAAAATGTTGTAATCTATCAATTGTTACGTTTTAATGTAGTTGAAAATAGTTAATATTAAAAAATTTATTGGGACAATAAGGCGTTGCCAGATTTCTGTTTTATGTATTTAAGACCTTCCAGACTACTTAAAATCATAAGTGTTACATATGGTTGAACTCGTTTTAAATAGAAGATTCCAATAATGACTGAATATACAGGGTGATGAATTTGAAAAACCAAAGTTACTAATAATATAAGAGAAACGGCAAATCTGGCAACATTGCAAATATTAAATATGGAATCTCCGTATCTCAAAATAGGTGTACATTAAATTTTGTACAATTATGACTAGCAATTTACGAGATAATTGACCGTTTCCAGACTTTTGGGCCACTCTGTATGTTTTTATCCTTAATAGGACGCCCTTATGGGCAAAAGATTACAAGAAAACTTCCTGATGTACAGGAACTTTGTAAGAAAGCACATAAATTGTATTGTATCTTGTCTCATTACGTAATTTCAAGGTTTTAAAACAAAAGTTTTTTAGTTAGCTCAGTGAAAACTCTTGGTATCTAAAACCATATGATACATGTACTTGCTCGTTAAAACATCAAGCCAAATGAAAACTGATTAAGATAAAAAAATTTATCGCATCGAATATAAGGGAACTTTTTACACTGAAGTGACTGGTATCATGACTGGAGGGCAGTATGGCAAGGCTAACTATCTCTCTTTCGTTAGCATTAGAAGTCACTGTTTTGTGGAAACTTTGCTAACATTTTAAGAATAATACAGCTTGAGGATATAATTACTAATGTCTAGTAAATAATTCGAACAATATCGTATACGAAATCCGTGTTGAAACTGAGTACTACGATGAGTATAATAAGCTAAAAGCAATCTTACTTCTTTGTAAAATAAATTAATTAAGGACTAATGTAAAGAAAGTAAAGCAGAGGATTATTCAGTTAGAAATATCACCCAAATTTACTACTAACAAATTAATCATCCTGTATTTTGGAATAAAAATTAAATTTTTGTGCTTTTGAGCTCTTTGTAGACGACCTAAAAGAAAACTAATAGCATGTCTTAGGCATGCTGGCATAGCCAGCAACCGAATGTACGGCTATTTTTTAATAAAAATAATAATTTTTTGTATTTAAATGTACATTTATTATTTTTAGATCGCCTTGGACACAATGTATTGGACGGTCTTCAACCACATTATGATATGGGGCTCTCTGGCATTTTATTTTATAGCGGACAATTTTTATAACTACCTTTGCCGCGGCCCGTACGTCGGCTCTTTGATAAAAGCGATGTTAGAAGTGAACTTTTGGTTCACAACCGTCCTTGTCGTTATCATTTCTATAATGCCTGTGCTGGCGTGGAGGTTCTACTTTGTAGACGTGTTCCCTACCTTATCCGATAGGGTTAGGTTGAAGCAAAGAATGGCACAGGTAAGTTATTTTTACTATTTTAGTTAGAACGGTATTATATAGTTGAACTCAACTTTTTAACAGCTATTGATTGATATTATGTGGACACAAAAATGGTCACTTATTCATTTTGATTGACCTTGATCATTGTTTTCTTATAAATAAAGTTTCTTTATTTTAAAAACAAATGGAAAATCTTCATCTCCATTGTTTGTATTTTCCCTGTTTTGTCCCGTAATCGTCCAGCTTCTATTTTCTTTGGTATCAATACAAAAGGGACAATTCCCGGTCAACCCGTCAGAGAATTAACTCAATTTCATTAATAAAGTGTTATTTGTTTTAGGTACGATCTAGACATAGTCACGACGCCTTAAGAACGCCGTCGGCGAGACGAGTAAGACGTTCGATACGTTCTGGCTATGCTTTTGCCCACCAAGAAGGTTTCGGTCGTCTTATTACGTCCGGAAAGATCATGAGAAAACTACCTAACACCGACTTCATTATAAACAAATTAAACATGACTTCTACGGGAAGTGAACACCATCACCATCATAAAAATACCTCAACGGGAAGCGCTGCCCCGCCGTCAGATGGTAAGTTTAAAAACTTATTTTTTATTTTTTTTTATCAAAAATCTACGACCACGTATAGCTGTTAAATGGATTTTTAATTGTATGTTATGGATTTCTCCATGAATGTTGGCATTTTCACCCGTAGCGGTCCGAAGTCGCAACCTCGTTGGTAACAGTTTCTTACGGCTGTTTATAACTGTCGGGCGTATAATGGTTCTGGTCGCTCCAGTATCCACCAACAACGTATGCCTTTTACCATTTATTTCTCCATCTACATATACACTATCTTCACGACATTTTAAAGAGGCTATTAATATGAGAGGGTCTTTGGAAAAGTTCGGGGTTGAAACTGCTCCCGTAAGGCCGACCCGTTCTAGTTTTGTCTTGGGTCTTATGGTCTTCGTTTTCTTGTGTGTAATACTTTTCATCATATTAAAGCGCTGGTCAAGTTTATCTACATCTCCTTCCTCTTTTACAGTCCTGTACCTTACAACTTTACTATACCCGCCAGAGGCCTGTCTTGTAACGAGCTAATCGTAGTGTTCTCTGCATTTCATGATCACGAAGACCATCAATAAAGATTTGAACGGCCAACTTTTCCATCATGTCTTCGGGAGCTGTTGGATAAGCATATCGTACTAATCTGGCTATATCTACCTCATATTCTTGAAGAGCCTTATGTTTATTTTGTCTTCGATTTTTAAGCTGCGACTGATATACATGCTCCAAATGTTCGTGACCATATCGCATATTTAACATTTTCTTGAGTTGTTCGAAATCATCCGTCTCCTCTACGGCTATGGTCTGAAGCACATCTAAGGCATCTCCTCGAAGAGCGATAGTCAGGTTTACAGCCTTTTCTTTTTCAGACCATCCATTCGCTCTTGCAGCTGATTCGAACTGTTTCATGTAGTTGTTCCATGACGATTTTCCGTCGAAAGTTGGGACTTTGACATGAACAGAACCTCCACTTCCTTCAAATTTCGGCCGTGTTTCCAACTTACATTTCGTCTCGTTTTCTTTTGTCTCTGCTGTAATTGGATTGTTTCCTCTCTCTGCTGTCCCTGTTCCCTGCATCTTCCTTTCCAGTTCTTTCATCTTTTCTTCGAAGGCCAACATATCAGCAGCAACTTGGTTCTTTAACGAAGACATTCTGTCTTCGTTAGAAGCTAGAAAGTCTAGAAACTTTGTCTTCGTTTGTTCTCTAACGATGCGATGTCGTCGGAAACTTTCGAAATATCGCCTGAAACTTTGTTCTCTAATGATGCGATGTCACCAGAAACTTTGTTCTCCAATTTCGAAATCGACGAGATGACAGCATCTTCAAATATATAAGTTTCCGGGTCCAAACCCTCTTCTTTCAAAGCATTCGTCGTTTCAAAGCATTTAGTCGTTGGACTAAATCAGCCTTTTTTTATGACTGTTTTTGTAATTGCTAATGTGATGCTAATTTATGTAAAATATTCACTTCTGGCACCAAATGTTGAATTTTTATTAATTCTAATTTATTTACTGTATTTCGTTTATCCTAATTCACTAAAACACAATAATTTATTTCAATTTATTAAATCATTTATTCGAGTCAACAATTTATTTTCGACTAACTGCTTTCTAAATAAAATGTCCCATATATATAAATAACCGTTAGTTCTGGAATCGCGGCGAATCGATGATCTTCCATTGAAGGAATTCCATCAAAAGCAGGTTTTTTATATCGGAGGGGGACCCATCGTTTCAGGTGGGTATTACCTGGAATTTCTACCAGTTAGTAAATCTATTATCTAAAATCTATTATAAAAAAAATAGATTATATCTTAAAGAAGAATAGAAACCTAGTAGAAGACGTATCAGTATTAAATCAGTTTGACCTAGGAAGCGATCATAGACTAATAAGGACAAAACTGATAATTAACAAAAAACTAGAAAGAAAAAGAGTACATGAAAAAAGATACAAATGGACATCTGAAGAAATCAAAAATAGTGAATTTAATAAAAAGATAGTGCATGCATTAAATCAAGTTAGCATGCAGCAGATAAACTCCAATGATATTGATGCTTTGAATAACCTTATTACCGAAACAGTGAATAAAAGCCTTCTGCAACTGAAAAAACCAAAAACAACATACAATGAATTAGACAAAGAAATATTACAACAAATGGAAAGAAGGAAGATCTTAAATAAATCTAACAAAAGGGGAACCGACGAATATAGAGAACCTTATAGGCAGATTACAAAAGGAATCAGACAACAAAAAAGAAAAGAAAACGAAAAATTAATAACAACAACTATTGAAAAAAATAACGAGTATGAAATGCCTCAGACCGACACTAGGACGACGTCAGATGATATCATTAATGGGAAAAGACGAAAATAAAATCACAACTAGAGAAAAAATACTGACACGAATAGAAGAATTTTACACAGAACACATCAACAAGATGATGACATGAGACCAGCACGGAAATTAATAAAAAATGTTGGATCAGAAATAATGCCAAAAGTAACAATTTCAGAGGTAACTACAGCATTGGAAAACATGAAGAGAAATAAAGCTGCAGGAGAAGATAGTATTATTACCACAGATATGATATTAGAAGGAGGTAAGGAACTAATTGCAATTGTAACTAAGCTTGTGGACAGTTGTTTACATCAGGGCAAAGTCCCTAAGAGCTAGAACAACTCTAAAGTAATCTTATTACACACGAAAAGTGATAGTCGAAAATTAGAAAACTACAGACCTATCAGCCTACTATCACACCTGTTTAAAATACTCACCAAAGTCATAACTACTCGACTAACAAGGAAATTAGACGAATACCAATCATATGAACAGGCAGGTTTTAGAAAAGGCTATTCAACTTTCGATCACCTGTTAACCACAAAAATATTAATAGAAAAATGTAACGAATACAAGTTTCCAGTTTTCCTAGCATTTGTAGACTACGAAAAAGCTTTCGATACCATAGAACACACGGCCGTAATAAACGCAATGCAAAATTGTAGAATAGACAGCAGATATATTAACTTAATAAAAGAAACTATAAACCAAGCTACAGCTACATACTACCTAAATGAAAATGAACACACGAACCCTATACCATTAAACAGGGGAGTCAAACAGGGAGATACTTTATCACCCAAACTGTTCACCTTAGTTTTGGAGGAGTATCTCAATCAAGAGATAAGTTTATTAATGTAGTGAGTGTGTGTGTTTGTGTGTGTAGAGTAATTGTCTTGATACTTAGCAAAGTCGACGTCATTGTCTTTGCTAAGAGACGCTAATTGTATCCGAACGTCTCCGGTCCCTCTGGTGAGTACCGATCACACAAGGATAGAAATTATTTTCATTTATTATTATTATTTTTTTTTTTAATAAACGAAAATTTCCACCCAGGTGAGATTCGAACTCACGACCTTTAGGTTTAAAGGCAGGCGCTCTTACCACTGAGCCACAGAGGGGGTTAACTATATACTCAGAAATCAACAAATTCAATTACATCTTAGATGTTTAGATGAACTAAAGTTTTTGATGCATGCATTATTCCGATATTAACTTATGCGGTACAAACATGGACAATCACAAAAAAGAATATGAATATACTTAGAGTCACTCAACACGCAATGGAAAGAGCAATAGCATATAATACTAGAAAGATTACTATAGTATATCACTTAAGGACAAGAAAACAAACACGTGGATAAGACAGAAAACCAAAGTCACCGATGTGGTGCAAAAATCATTAAAGTTGAAATGGGAATGCGCTGGACATGTAGCTAGGAGCGATCAAACAAATGGCACAGATCAATTTTAACCTGGAGACCATACCAACACAAAAGACCCACAGGCAGACCTCCTATGAGATGGACAGATGATCTGAAAAGGACTGCCGGGACAATTTGGCTACAAATAGTGTACAATAAAAAACAATGGAAAGGAAGACTTGAAGAGGCTTATGTTCAGATGTGGACGTGAATGGCTAGACGAAGAAGAAGAAGAAGTAAAATCTAGAACATATCTGAATTAAAAAGAATATTTATGAGACATATTTATCGTAACAGTACATTGTGACTATCGTACTTTGACTACAGAGTCTCAATTTCTTCGCATGTTTCCCTTACCATTAATTAGTTTCAGGATCTCATATGTCATCCATGATTTTTTCTTCATTAATCTATCAATCTTTAAGTGTTTATCCTTTACATTTTGCACTATTTCTGTTATATGTTTGACCGTTTGTACTTCGTTAGATTCGTCTCTAATTGCAGTCACTTGCTCGTTTAATGTGGCTTGGACTCTCATCCTCTTATCAAGGTCTTTCAGCATACGTAGGTCGTATGATTGTGCTTTCAAAACATATAACCGTTAATTTTTATAGAATAATAAATCCAATTTACTCTTTGAGTAGCAGATTTATTTGCTCGCAAATGTGTATATTTCTTTTAATCAAGCTTCTTTTGGTATTAAAAATGTTTCATAATATATAAATGTGTCTAATACATAATTGCGCTTACAGGAAGCAGTAGCGGAGGTCCTGGCAGGGCGCCCATTCAAGATTTGGACACCATCAATCTATGACGAATGTGCTCTGCTTAGACAAAAAGGGCAATGTTTTGTTTTTGCTACTTAAGATTAAAAGTATTGTTTTTGGTTGTTAAACTAATGGAACCGCGAAAGTGGAAAATGAATGTTTCTTTTTTTTGTATATAGACATATTTTAATTAGACATTAGCAGTTTTGCAGATTAATCGAGAATATTAATAATAATAATAATAATAAGAAATATGTGGAATTGTTACACCGAATAGTAAATACTTATTGGAAATAGAAGCTATATTTATAAGGTTTTATACAAAAAAATTGCCGAATACTTATATTCAGCAGTGAGAAATATATATAATATAATGCGTGAAACTGTGTTTGAATATATACAGTGTGGCCCATTTAGATTGAAAACATCTCTGCAAAAGTTGAAGTTGTTAACCGATTTCAAACTTTTTTAATACGAAGTTATAAAATATGTAAGTACTTCGAAACAAAATTTAAAAGATTTATTCAGATGTTCGAGTACTTTTTCGTAGAGGAAAATAAAGGCTTTTGTTAAAGTTTTTTCATATTAAAAAAATACAATGTCATTGTATTAAAAGTGTCTACTAATAGCTATGGTCATCGTTTAAACTTTTGAAATAATTGACTTTATTTAACTATTTTTAATCGACGGAATTACTTAAAATGTATGAATTATCCTGTACTTAAAATTCTGTCTTTTGCGAGAAAGTAGCTTAATCATTTTGATTATAGACTCCTAAGCTAAATTTAGGCTAGAGTGAGTTTTTCAATTTCGTATATATTTAACATATATTTAACCTCAAATTGGGTGGTCCAAAACTGTCAGATGAAGACAATAGGTGTCGCGTCAGTCACGCACGGAGCGAATACAATTTTATAACTTTTATTTTTCATTTGACAGTAACAAATAGTTTGTCACAGTTAATTTGATAAATTTTAAATATTTCACATCATTTTGATACTTCAAGCTACTCTTTGCCTCGACAACTGTTTTTTCTTACATAGTTTGTGTTCTTACAGTATTAAAAATCGATGTAACAATTACAACATATGCGCCAAAAACTAATCATATCTTGTTTAAATGTTGTTAATTGTCCATACATAATTTTTACCTCTGAAAATGGATTTTGGTACATTGTTAAATCGACCATAACTGTTAGACGAGTTTTTAAAGACATCTGTGATAATAGGTTAGATAGTTGAATAATTTAGATTCACCACCCTACATTGGAAATAGTACTTTTAAACGCTTAGAAATAGAATACCAAATGTAGATGTGCTGTACTTAAGAATAATACTAGGCTTCGCACTGTAATTCAAATTGCCATATATAGTGGATACTTACATTAAGAGTTATTGGCAAATTGAAATAAATCAAATAACCACTGTACATTTGTTTTGCGTAAATAAAAGATATACTGGGTGTTTCAAAAATGGTAACACTGTCTCTAGAATGGTCTCTAGGGCGTTGAAAAAAAAAACATTTTTTATGATTTTGCCGAAACTACTGGCACCATTGTAATGAAATTGTCTACGAATATGTTTTGGGTGCTGATATATCCCATGAATTTGTTTTTATATCTGACTCTCACAGAGGGCGCTAGTTATACCAAGTATTATACAATTATATTATGTTTAATAATTTCTAAGGGTAAAATTATTATTAAAAATTCCAAATGAACTTAAACATCATACAATTTTACACCAAAAAAATACTCTTGCTAAAACTGTATACTGTCTACCATTTACGGAATATTCTGATTTGAATCAGTTATTTATGAAGCATAGTAAGTCATAAAACTTAAATTTTATGTGAGAAACACAAAACCGTTTCCAGTAGGTTAGATATTATAACTTATTTTGAATATATAAAATGCTGACAATAGGGTTTAAATGAAAAACGACAAGGGTAAAATTACAAAAATTTTGAATCTTAGTTTAAGAATAATTTTTTAATTAAATGCTGTGACTTAGTATGATTTTTTAAATAAACATAGTTGTTAAAAACATAAAAATAAACTTGTGTTTTAAACACTTTCGCAAAATGTATTTTAAATTATTATCACTACAGCTGTTTCGTCAGAGTGCCTTTCTCAAGTGATCTATTTTTGGTATGTGTTTAAACTCTATAGTCTTAACTGAATAAGTTGAGAAGGAGAGAACTGTTTGTCTTAAGTTGATCATTCAAAATTATGTCTGTATTTTGTAATTTGTTGATTTCCAAGGCCTTAGAGGCCTTTATTTTTAATGTGAAGAATTTGAAATTCGTCCTTAAACGAATGATTATGATCTATAAGGTGAAATGTGTACGAAGACTATGTTTTTCTATCATTGAAAGCATTTTTATGTTCTGCAATACGTTTGATAAAAGTTCTACCAGTTTGACCGATGTAAGTTTTTGGGAACTCGCCACATTTTAGTTTGTATGCACCGCTGTGTAATTCCTTTTTCTTTTGCCTCTTGTTTTTTTATCTGGTAAGTTTCTTCTATGAAACATTTCTGCATAACGCCTAAAAGCTACACTAGAGTTTCCTAATTGCGTAAGGTTAAATTTCAGTAAATTTTGATTAAAAATATCCAATTTTTCAAATCACAAGGTTTCAAAACTCTAATTATTGTTTACTTATTGTCATAAATGTTAGTTTTCCGTGGCAAACTTGGAGAAAATCGAGATATACCTATTAGAACTGTATGGTTACTTTATACCAGCATCATTTATTTCTTCATAAGTTTTACCACTATCGAGTTTTACTAAGAGTACCTTTTTGGTGTAAAATTGTATGATGTTCACTTGGAATTTTGATTATTAATTCTAACGCCGTTACAACAATTTTTTACCGAGCAAACCCCCAATTATTTTTTAGTGTTTTCCTATCCTAGAGACGGTCTTGCCTTTTTTTGAAACACCTGTATTACTGGTTGATCCTATCTCAAATTTATCAGTTTCCTTGTTTTCGTTCTTATCCTCGCAGATAATTTGGCTTTTTGATCATCAAGACTGCAATGATATCGTCAGGGACCTTTTATAAAACTTTCAACCATATTTGCAATATCTATCTTGGCTTGCCATATGAAGATACAATTATTAACTAGCATTGTCAATGGCAGTATGTCATCGTTCCCAAAAACTAGTCTTAATAAATTTTTTTAATATAGATTACACTTTTTTTTCAAATTTATGACTTGCCAGCGAAAATGTATAGTCATTCAAATTTTGTCGCCAATTTATGACGTCTCTGCACTGTGAGTGGCGCCACAGCTATAAAAATTATGAAACTTCAACAAACAAAGCATACTAGGTGGTCTGATACATGGTTCCAGCGATTTTTCATCTTCTTTCTGACGTCCGAATGAATATTCTGCAAAATCTGCAAGTTTTTTATTTATGAGCCATCTCTTTAGATTTGGGAACACAAAATAATGCGAGGGGGCCAAAGTACGAGAATAAGGCTAGACGCATACACATCGAATTTGGACGGTCGATAAAAGTTCGACCGAACTTTTGTTGATGATGCCTTGCGCGCACACCACACGATATTTATTCGATGACATTTTTTAATCCATGTTAGGTGGAGTACACAAAATCACAATGAGCAACACAGAACCACGGAGCGACGTACATTGAGCAGTGTCACAAAACGGTCCTCTGGTCGGTCGATAAAGATCGATGTGTGCGGGCGCGTTTTTTTGATACTATACGCCTTGGAACGACGGCAACGACCACGGCAGCCGTGAATGCAGTGACATTCATCGATCGCCACACGACCATCACACGACATCGATGCCGTGCCGTTTGGCGATCGATGTGTGTGCCCGCTCACATTTGTTTCTTCGCGCCACCAAAGGAATTTGTTTGATCGAACTTTTATCGACCGTCCAAATTCGATGTGTGTGCGCTTAGCGTAAGTCGGATGAGAAAGAATTAAGATACGAACTCAACTCATGAGATTTTGCCATTGTCATAACGCTCTTTGTCATTATCAAATTTGATGCATTGTGTGAGTATTCATTGTATAAAATATCATTTTGACAATGCTGTAGTTTATTTAGTAGAATAAAATTAAAAACTTTATATTTTGCAAAAAATATACATTTTTGTTACACACAGTTTATGTCTCCATAATTAAACCAAAGCATTTTCACATGAAGGGTGTGGAAATAAATTAATTATAATAATTCAACGTTTGATTTGGTTTTTTCTGATTTTGATAATATTCGGTAAATAATTTTGTATTACAAAAAATTAATTCGAAAATCATATTTAGAGTATATACAGTGTGAAAACCACTTATGGAATAAAATTGTTTGTGTCCTTATTTTAGAAAATAATAAAAGACGTTGAGATATCTTAACTTTTAAATTTAAATGTGCGCTTCTTAACATAACTTGGAATGTACAGGGTGATCCACGTAAGTCTGGCATAGTCCATAATCTGTATTTTAGCTCCTTAACAACCTGATCTTAACGAACTAAATCATGTAGGATCTATTATAAATAATACAAGGTGAAAATTAAAAATTAAGTTTAATTTTCTTCAAGACAACTAATTCATAGAATAACCGAGGTAATTGATTAGATAAATAAATGCTCAAAATGTTCTCCACCTTGTTAGCAATACCACAGTCTCCTATAAAACTCGTCCCGAACTTTGTTTAAAGTTTGAGGTGAAATATTCCATATTTCTGTAGTTATCCTTTATTTGGGGTCTTCAATGCTAGTTGGTTGTGTTGCATATACTTTGTTCTTGAGATAACCCCACGGAAAAAAATCCAAAGGCGTAAGATCTGGCGACCTAACTGGCCACTCAATAGTAGCCCTTCGTCCAATCCAATCCATTTATTGAAGAAGATTTCATTCTAGTAATTTCTCACCATTAAAGCATAACGGAGTGTTGCACCGTCCTGTTAGAACCAGACAGTTTCATGCGGTAGGGTCGGATCTATTGGATTGGGATATAAGTTAGAAAACTGAGGAAGAACATTGTCTCTTAGCATGCTTAAATATTTTTCCGTTGTCAAATTACCACCTACAAATATAGGACCAATAATATGATCTCCTATAATACCTGTCCAAATATTCAACTTTAGTGAGTGTGTCTCTCACGCATCCAATAAGGATTTTCGCTGACCAATATCTACAGTTTTGTCGGTTTACCTCTATGTTCAATGTAAAAGTTGATTCATCAGAAAAAATTCATTAGATTCATCAAGAGCTACTTCATTTGTGTTAATTTTATCCATCATTCTTTCACAGAAATCCATT